CATCGCTGCGGTTACGCGCCAATTCATTTTTGACATACTGAAAAATTTTAATATAACCAAAAGATTCGTTTATCGTACCATCAAACGATACAATGAAGACTCTAGTGTAGATGACAGGTCAAGAAGTGGTCGCCCTCGCTCTGTTAGGACTCCAGCAGTGATAAAAGCTGTGAAGGCGCGAATTCAAAGAAATCCCAAGCGTAAGCAGAAACTGTTGGCCCTTTAGATGGCGTTAAGCAGAACCACGGTGAAAAGGGTGTTAAATGAAGACTTAGGGCTTCGGGCATATCGAAGAAAAACAGGACATTGTTTGAATGCTCGTCTAATGGACCTGAGACTGAAGAGATGCCGCGCTTTGTTGAAGCGGTACTCGGGAAAAATATATCGGGAAATACTTTTTTCGGATGAAAAATTTTTACCGTAGAAGAGAACTACAACAAACAAAATGATAAGGTGTACGCTCACAGTAGGGAAGAAGCGAGCAACCGTATTCCGCGTGTCCAACGAGGTCATTTTCCATCCTCGCTCATGGTATGGTTGGGAGTTTCTTATTGGGGCTTAACAGAGGTACATTTTTGTGAGAAAGGTGTAAAAACGAATACAGTTGTGTATCATAATACAGTCCTGACGAACCTTGTGAAACCTGTTTCTCATACCATGTTCAATAACAGGCACTGGGTATTCCAACAAGATTCGGCGCCAGCTCATAGAGCGAAGAGCACACAAGACTGGCTGACGGCGCGTGAAATCGACTTCATCCGGCACGAAGACTGGCCCTCCTCCAGTCCAGATTTGAATCCGTTAGATTACAAGATATGGCAACACTTGGAGGAAAAGGCGTGCTCAAAGCCTCATCCCAATTTGGAGTCACTCAAGACATCCTTGATTAAGGCAGCCGCCGATATTGACATGGACCTCGTTCGTGCTGCGATAGACGACTGGCCGCGCAGATTGAAGGCCTGTATTCAAAATCACGGAGGTCATTTTGAATAAACTTTAGTGTCATAAGAATCTATGTTTTGTTAAGTTCATTTTGGTATATAAATAGTTACATAATGAATAAACTTGTTTCAATTATTTTATATTAAACATGTGACAGAATTTATGACCTGACTAGGTATATTAGCAACAGAGCTAATATTAAAATATTTTGGTAAGTTTTAATAATGGTCAAAAAACTTTGAAATAGCCTCCAAACGCAAACGTCGCAAGCGAATTTTGTTAAGTTAATAACTCTACACTCGCAAGTAATCTGTACGCGGTGAAAACGCATTGAGACTAATTGATCAGCTAATTTGCTGTGCCGCAGGTACACCTATGGTCTTATGAATTAAAAAATTGTTTCTATAATTAATACAAACAGAGATTTCAGATACGGAAAACGTGACATGCCTTAACCAAGTATACTCCAAGTATACTACCTCATACTCTTTTAAAGTATAAGTGACATTATTCTGCGTCCATGCAATGTTGGCCTAAGAACCAACAGTGAAAAAAAAATTTTAAGTGCGAAATTGCACATAATTGTATGTAACAACATTAACTCCTGACGAACACTTCTGAAAACATAGATATAAGCAGTTATAATAGAGATTTTGAGGTTATGTTTTATTTTTATGAAACATTACTACGTTATTGCTAATGTAAGCAGTTCAGTCTTAGCCTATCACTTATACGTTAAATAAAAGTCAGGTTGTGATTAGGTAAACTTATCGTATAACAAACCAACTGCACAGTGCACTTAGATTCCGAAATCATTTGCTCAAATCATAGATTAATGATAAGTCATCGCGCGCTCTGACTAGATGCCGCGCTCCGTGCAAGTAACAGCTCCGTGAGTGCGACATCTTAATATTGTTGCGCGCCACTATTAATGTCTTGTAGATGGCAACACTAGTTACACTAGCGCCCCCTAGTGTCGAGTAAATGAAAGTATTGCGCGCCACTATTAATGTCTTGTACATGGCAACACTAATTACAATCTAAAATCACACTAATAATAAAACACAGTTCGCCGTTATTTCGCTTCGAAGTATTCTCTTGTATCGCCAATTCAATACTGCCCCGGTCGTGGTCTATATCGGCCTTATATAGGGCCTCAGATAGTTTCCAGAACCTTCTACTGCAGCGACATCTAGAATGTTCGAGTACATATTGGTCCCGAAATTTCTGGAAGGATCTCGACTCTCCTAGTTCTGCTACTCGACCACGACCGGGGCAGTATTGGATTGGCGATACAAGAGAATACTTCGAAGCGAAATAACGGCGAACTGTGTTTTAATATTAGTGTGATTTTAGATTGTAATTAGTGTTGCCATGTACAAGACATTAATAGTGGCGCGCAATACTTTCATTTACTCGACACTAGGGTGCGCAAGTGTAACTAGTGTTGTGTAATTAGTGTCAATTTTGTTAATTCAATCGGCAGTTTTTAATTGTCTCGAACCTCAAGCTCGTAACAATATTGTAGTGTGTATAAGACAATTTGCATGATGCTAGTGTGCGTGAAAAATTGTATATGCCAGCAGCTTAACTATTACCCGATTAACGGGAAAATTTATTTTATGCTATGGCTTAGTAGTTAAGTTCATAGTTATGAATGTATTCCAGAAATACTTAAAAATGAATAGTTTATTAATAACGAATGTATCAATATATTTGTGTATATTATGTATACGTTTTTCTTCTGAATAAATGACATATAAATGATAACTATTTGTTCATGTTAATGTTATACCTAGATATTTGAAAAAATATTTACAGAATGACGTATCACTCCTGTCAATATTAGAATTTTATTTTTTTCGGTCTGTTGAATACAATTTAATATTGATCTTAAGTGTGCACAGAGCTCCTTTAGAAGTACTGAGGTTAATTAGCAAAAAAAACTGCTTACTCTGCTTACTCTAAAACTGCTTACTCTAGGATGCAGTGTCTAAAAAGCTTGGCGTGCTCAGCAGAGCGGGACAGTATTTCATGCCGGCACACCGCCTGCTACTTTACAAGGCGCAAGTTCGGCCTCACATGGAATACTGTTCCCATCTCTGGGCAGGGGCTCCCCAGTGCCAGCTCCTTCCACTTGACCGCATCCAACGCAGAGCGGCTCGAATTGTCGACGACCGAGCCCTTTCCGATCGGCTCGATTCATTGGCACTGCGAAGAGATGTTGCATCCCTTTGCATTTTCTTTCGCATCTACCATGGGGAGTGCTCTGAGGAATTGTTCGGATTAATCCCAGCCGCCAAATTTCACGAACGCACATCGCGGCAGAACTCCCGATACCATCCACACCATCTGGATGATTGGCGGTCCACCACTGTGCGATTTAGAAGATGTTTTCTTCCTCGCACGACCTCCTTGTGGAATCGATTACCATCAGCGATTTTTCCGGACCGATACGACTTAGGGACCTTCAAGAAAAGAGCGTACTCCTTTTTAAAAGGCCGGCAACGCATCTGCGATTCCCCTGGTGTTGCAGTTGTTCATGGGCGGCGGTAGTCACTTACCATCAGGTGAGCCGCATGCTCGTTTGCCCCCTCTCCTATAAAAAAAAAAAAGACTCCGTCCGGTTTTAGGCGATATTTTGAAATCGTAAATGTGGAGGTAAATTTGAAATTGGAACATTAAAATTTTTACTTGTAAGTAATCAAATTTTCAAAACTATTTATATAACTATCACACAGATAAAATTCCCTCTCACAGGTGATAAATTTCAAGTGGCACCATCTCTAATTTTTTTACTGTGTCATTATCATCTGTCGTTCAGCGCTGTACACGTTTAAATGGAACGATGTCGTTTGGTGACTATAGTCACCATGGACAGATGAGGCATTCATTTTTTTGGGGACTGTAGTCACCATGGATGGCTGAGTAACGATGTAGTATCTCGTTCAAAAATACTATTTTCTCTGTAACATGATTATTTTAAGTCGAATGTTCTCAGGTTAATACACACGCCTACTCAATAAGTTTTACTTTTATTATTAAAAAAAAAGGATGACAAACTAGTACAAAGCCCACTAAGATTTAAAAGTATAGATACGTCATACTCGCTCTAAAATAGCAATACGAAAGTCAGGTAATTGCCCGACTCACCCGGGTACGTTCTCGCGTCGCGGCTATAACTTTGCTGCAGCGCGTAAATCTTCTAATTATTCGTGGCAAAAATGCCTTCCTGTGTTTTAGGTGGTGCATAAATTAAACGGCAACTGTTAGAGACTAGAAAAACGTCTCATTAATATTTTGAATATAGATGTTTTGTTCATAATTAGTTTTATTATTTCAACACCTAACCGCTAGTGTAGAATTTGACGCTAGCTAATGTGTTCATTTTCCATATCGGTATGTCACGCGCTCACGCCAATGAACGCTCGGCAGCAATCAATACGCAAGTAATGATGTATATTCATCTTTTTCTAACAGTAGGTATGCCCTATAATTTGTCTCTTTTTGTTAGCGCCACGTTGCATAATAAATAACTGTACGTAGATATAGCCTATATATATATATATATATATATATATATATATATATATATATATGGCGCAGGTATAGGCTATATCTATATATATATATATATATATATATATATATATATATATTTATATATATATATATATATAGATATAGATATAGCCTATACCTGCGCCACTTTAAAATATGTACAATAATGTTAGTGTTTAACCTGTCTATCTTTTTTAATACGTCTTTGACAGCCCACCTGATGGTAAGTAGATACTTTGTCCCATAGCCATCTAAATTTATCCTTGATTACAAATAACAAAAACACCGCAGGTATGGTGTCATCTCTAAAAACTATGATGGAATGCCTCGTTTTAAAAAAAAAGCTTTTCCCGCATCTCTACACTCACATGACTCTACCTCGTAACAATAAAGCTTAAGTAAACGTAAGACGTTAATATAAATTTATAATTTTACTGACCGGCACAGGGAGTTTATGCAGACATTAACAGTGAAATTTTAATTTCAGATATCGCCGTTTGTTAGAACCGGCCGAACGTTATGGCAGAAAGAGGGGAATATATACAGGTCTCGGTACTGGATTCAACTGGATTTTAACATACTCCCTTAACGCAATCGGTCTTACCTACGGAACCAGGCTAATCCTCAGCGACTGGGAGAAACCTACAGACGAACGAAAATACTTAGTCGGAGTAATATTCAGTGTAAGTATAATGAACACATCTTCATCATCATTACAGCCCTTCACAAGTCCACTGCTGAACTTAGGTCTCCCCCAAGGAATGCCACAAGGCACGGTCCTGAGCCACCTGCATCTATCGACTTCCTGCGTGTCTTACCAGGTCGTCACTCCATCTAGTGGGGGGACGCCCTACACTTCGCCTGCCACTCGAGAATCTTTCTCCCCCATCGGTTATCGGTTCTTCGAGCTATATGGCCGGCCCATTGCCACATCAGCATACTAATTCTTTGGGCTATGTCGGTTACTCTGGTTCTACTGCGGATTGCTCAAACAAAATGTAAAGGCTTGTTCAAATACTTTTAAATTCCATAGGGTACTGCCAAAAGATATCGTTAAATATTTTAAAACTATTGATGTTAAGAAAACGGCAGACTTATGGGGGATTTCAGTTAAAGTTATTTTATCTATAATAGATACATTAGCACCTTATCTAGCCACTATATTTAATATAAGCGTCGAATCTGGTGTGTTTCCTGATTTAATGAAACATAGTAAAGTCATACCTATATTTAAATCTGGTAGTACATTAGACCCCGCCAATTTTAGACCAATTTCTGTACTACCAACATTAAGTAAAATTTTTGAAAAAATTATTTTAGATCAGATGTTAAGTTTCTTTACTATTAATAAATTGCTACATAATAATCAATTCAGTTTTACAAGGGGTCGCTCGACAACTGACGCTGGAGTTGAGCTTATTAAACATATTTTTTGTGCATGGGAGACTTCAGAGGATGCTTTGGGTATATTTTGTGACCTTTCCAAGGCCTTCGACTGTGTTCACCATGAGACATTAATCAGGAAGCTACAGTACTATGGTGTCAGGAACACAGCGCTTTAACTTATTATTTCATATTTAAGTAATAGAAAACAGAAGGTTATTATCAATGGTTAAAGATCTTCCGGGTCACCTGTACTAATGGGTGTCCCTCAGGGCTCGATTCTCGGCCCATTCCTGTTTCTGGTGTATATTAATGACTTACCTCACCTTGTAGGGGATAGTCATGATATAGTATTATTTGCTGATGATACTTCCTTGATTTTTAAACTTAAACGTCAATCATTTAAATGTGACGAAGTGAATAATGCTATATCAAAATTAGTGCATTGGTTTAACGTTAATAATCTGCATTTGAACGGAAATAAAACTAATTGTGTTAAATTTACAACAACGAATGTTCAAAATCTGAATACCAATGTGTGTTTTAAATGGGGAGGAATTGAGCCCTGTTGTATCCAAATTAGCAAGCAGACTAAGTTCTGCAGCCTATGCTGTAAAAAAGATTAGAGGTCTCACTAGTGTCGAGACAGCTAGATTAGTTTATTTTAGTTATTTTCATAGCATAATGTCTTATGGGATTTTGCTATGGGGAAATGCGGCTGATTCAGAAACTATTTTTGTTTTACAGAAGAGGGCCATTAGAGCTATTTACAATCTAAAACCGAGAGAGTCTCTTAGAGATAAATTCAAAGAAATTAATATATTAACTTTGGCCTCTCAGTATATTTACGAAAATTTAATGTATGTTCACAAAAACAAAGATAGTTTTAGTAAAAGAAGTGATATACATTCTGTAAACACTAGGAACAAACACAAGCTAGTGATACCAGTTTCTCGACTCCACAGAGTCAGTAATTCATTCTTGGGGCAATGTATACGCTATTACAACAAGGTCCCGGAAAGTGTACAGGTTCTCTCTATTACCAAGTTTAAATGTTTTATTAAGCTGAAACTGTATAAAAAGGGTTATTATAGTATAGATGAATACATGGTTGATAATAACCCCTGGGAATGAGGTGATCGCTTCCAAGCAGTTTCTAAAATAAATTTTGTAAATAGTTCGTAATCATTTATATTGTAAAATTTATTTTAAAAAAAAGTCCCGCTGGGTTTCTTGCTGGTTCTTCCCAGGACAGAGGGTTTTTTCGAACCAGTGGTAAAGTAAAAAATGACTTTCAATAAGAATTACACATGTAATGTATATTGAATAAAAAATATTCTATTCTATTCTATTCTATTCTATCCTCGTTTTTAAGTCTATCACGCAGAGAAACGCCTAGCATTGCCCTTTCCATAGCTCGCTGAGCGACTTTGAGCTTCCTCATAACGCCAACAGTGAAGGAACACGTCGCAGAACCGTAGGTCATCAGTGGCAGCACGCACTGGTTGAACAATCTAGTTTTGAGATTCTAAGGTATGTCTAACGAGAAGATATGTCGTAATCTCCCGAACGTTGCCCAGCTGAGTTGAATCCGTCGATTGACCTCTCGGTCGAAGTTGGACTTACCTAGTCGGGCTATTTGTCCCAGGTAAACATATTCGTTAACAACTTCGAGCTTAGTGCTCCCAACAACTACCAGAATAGATGTGACATGGACGTTAAGCATGATTTTTGTTTGATCCATGTACATCTTAAAACCTATCCCTTTGGAGACACTATGGAGGTCATTGAGCATAGTACTTAAGTCTTCCAGCGATTCTCCCATAAGGACTATATTGTCGGCAAATCGAAGAGGAGTGATGTACTCGCCATTGATGTTGATACATGTCATGTTGATACATGATTGATAAAATGTCTTCCAATGTAGCTGTGAAGAGATTCGGGGATATTACGTCACCCTCTCTTACACCTCTTTGCAGTTGGATAGAGCCATCGTAGCCGTACTGTACAAACATTTCAGCACTTTGATATAGCGACAATCCATTTGGCACCGCTGAAGGGACTGCAGCACCGCCCGAACTTCGACGGAATCAAAAGCTTTCTCATAGTCCACATACGCAAGACAAAGAGGCAGATTGTCTTTGGTCTTCTGTATAATTTGCCGAAGGGTATGTATGTGGTCTATGGTGTTAAAGCCTTTTCGGAAACCGGTTTGTTTGGGAGGCTGGAAGTCGTCGAGTCTGCGTGCGAGACGATTCGTAATGACTCTCAAAAACAGCACGTTGACGCAGCTCAGAAGGGAAATCGGTCTATAGTTCTTCAAGAGAGCTTTGTCGCCTTTCTTGAAAAACAAGACCACCACACTTCTGCTCCACGCCTCCGGAGTAGTGCCATTATGGAGGATGGAATTAAAGAGCTTCTGAAGGACTTTAAATACCGGTTCTTCACCCACTTTTAGAAGCTACGCAGTTATTCCATCCTTGCCTGGGACGTTGCCATTTTGAAGGTGCTGGAGAGCCATTATAATCTCGATCAGACTGACGTCTGGGATATCATCGGAATAGTGTCGGATAAGACTTTGACTTTGAGAAACGATGACGTGTACAGTTGCCCATAGCACCTCTCAATCTCACGCAAAATCTCAGGTGTCTCGGAAACGATGCTGCCATATTCGGTTTTTAGCATCGACAGTTGGCACTTTCTGGCAGACAGATCTCTGGTAAAGACTTTGGAGCCCTCGTTCCGGTCAATCGCTTCTTTAATACGAGCAGTATTAAAATTGCGTAAGTCCCGCCGCATGCGTTTGGATATCTGTCTGTTCAGTTGCCTGTATGCTATCAAATCTACTGAAGACTGCAACTTCATTTCCCGTCTAACAGCCAGAGATGAAGTGTGTGATCGGAGAGTTTTTGTGTTCTTCTGCGGCGGGTCTTGCAAAAATTAGTTCCGACTGCATGGACAGTTTCCACGAGCTTGTCATTTATATGGTCCACTACATTGCAATCTTCTAGACACTGAAAACGATTTAGTAACTCGAGCTGAATGGTTTCGGGACTTTGGATTAGAGCACGAGGGGAACGGAGCGTTGACTTCATTAAACGTGACCTCTCCAACTTAAAGTTTAGGTTCAGTGTGCCTCTAACCATTCGGTGATCGCTACTAGTTTCCACCCTGGCGATCACTGAGACATCACTGAACAGTTGTCCTCTGGTCGTCATAATGAAGTCAATCTCATTTTTTATCGAACCGTCGGGACTTGACCAGGTCCACTTCCTGTGGGGCCGCTTCTGGAAGAAAGAGTTCATCATAATGAGTTCCTCTTTCACCATGAAGTCGGCCAGCTGCTGGCCCCTTAGTTTCCGTTGTCCTATTCCAAATTTCCCTACTTTCAGCTCACTGTTCTCTCTTGTGTCTAGTTTTGCAGTTTTTGAAGTCTCCCATTAACACCGTATAGTGGGTTTTGGAGGAATGCATGGCTCTAGAGATATCCTCAAAAATTTCCTCCACCTCCTCATCGGGGTGTGCCGAGGTTGGTGCGTAAACCTGTATGACCTTCAGCGAATACCGTTTGGTGATTCTGAGTATAAGGTACGCAACCCTCCCAATCTTTACAACGTTGGTAAAGAGAGATTTGTGGACTATAAATCTGAAACCTCCTTGGGACAGATGGTCGCCCTTCCGGTGATAGAACAAGTTGCCGGATTCGAGGATTACCGGCCCTCCTCCTCTCTTTGGACTTCGGATAATCCTTTAATATTCCAGCGCAACTTGTCTATCTCTTCTTTCAGTTACAGGATCTTCTCGCCAGTCCTCAGGGTGCGTGCGTTATAAGTTGCCAGGTCGAGTCGTCTAAGGTGGCAACCAAATTTCCACCGGAGCATAGCACCCCCTGCCCTGCCGTTACCATGGTTACCACCGTAGCCAGGAATAGCGGGGCCGCCGGGGACTGGGGGCCGTTTATTAATTTAATTGCTCATGTGGGTATATTGCCATAGTGGCCACGCTTGGCGAGCGGGTTGGCAACATCAGTTTTTTTTGCATTTTGCAGAACACATCTTATTAATATAAAATTTGTAAATTTATATATTTGGCGCTCAGTTAGGCTAAAGAAGCTAAATGTTCTTCAAATATTTAGCAGAGGATTAGATCATTGCACAGAATACTTTTTAGCAGTTTCGCACAAAAAGTCTTTCAGTATTTTCCACCTTACAGCTGCACGCAAAAGTTTGTAAATTGTAAATTTACATTTATATTTACAAGGACGACTCAATAAGTTCGCTGAATAAAGAGATTAGATTGGGAGAATGAGATCACGTGTATGCCTTCAGTATCGAGTACACTTGAATAAAAGATAATCGTTCGTGCTGCCCTCCGGCAAAACTTTAGTGACTGAGTACTGAGTAAACTGAGCAAATATTTGTAAAAAAATTCGACATGTTAATATAGTGTCTGTCCCCGTATTTTTGACTGGGTGTCAGTGACGTTTCGTTTGATAAAAGTCGTAGCACGTCAAATATGTGCGTATAACAACACGTGTGCGTAGTGACTCCTGTAATATGTGAAACGGTATGAAAGAAAACAACATATGAAAAAATCAACGTGTGTATACGTGTGATGTTCACCTTAAAAAGAAATAGTAATCCAAGGTAGGCTTTGTGAGTAACCCTATAATAGTAACGACTATAAACAGATATTCCAATTCTTAAGCCTTAAGATTTAGTATGATTGATCGACAAAGTTAAGCGAGATGTTATTGTTTGTCAGTATATTATACCAATGATTGATGAGGATGAAAATAAATTTTATTTCTACATACGTAATTATATTTATTTATACATAAGGGTAACTTTAATAAAGGTAATACAAAAATCAACAAGAAGTATAAGGGTTCAATCTTTCAATTTCAATTGTAAAAAAACGTTACCCCCACACTAGGATTTTCTCCTGTGTCGTGGAGGCAGTTTATAAACATAAATTGCACAAGGACAAACATCCAGACCCGGAACAATTATTTGTAGGCCATACAAATACTTGTTCCGTGCGGGATTCGAACCCGCGGCCCCCAGCGCAACAACTGATTGCTAAGCCACTGCGCCACGGAGCCGTCACCGGGTCTAAAGTGACCATACGTCCTGTTTTGAACGGGATTGTCCCTTTTCTCGGTCACCTGTCCCATTGTCCCCAAACAAAGGTCCGGGACACAAAATTGTCCCGTAACTCGTTGGATGGAGGTATTCAAAGTGAACAATCTTCAACATATTTTTTTTTCGAATATATTTTATGTCTACCTGGTACAAATGCTTCGGTAGTAACAGTATTTTTTATTTTGAATAAATTTTGGACGTCTGAAAGAAACACTTACGGTTCCAGTTCTAAAGGCGATGTTGTTAACAAAGATAACAATAAAAAAACTTGAGCAAAATTTCATTCTTATTTAAAATCATCACCAACTTTATTAAAGCAAATTTAATCCACTGAAAAATGTAATTAATAATAAAAAAAATATGTTGCATTTAATAATTACCGTCTATACCGAATATAATTTTATAGTGAACACTAATTGTATAAAGTTATAGTTTTTAGAGTATAAATAAACCCATGTCCTGTTTTGAGTTAAAAATAAATGGTCAGTTTAGTCTTTTTAGTTAAATTTAGTTTTAAAATTTGTAGTTTATAGTAAAAAGTAGGTATATTAGTACCTACTTAGATACTTTTTACCGAATTATAAGTATAGAACACCTTATCTACTCAATTATTTTTTGAAAAAGAAGAAAAAACAAGCAATAAATAATATACTATATTTTAGCAAAAAACTATAACTTAGTAATACTAATTATAACTTAGAACATAAATGAAAAACTCATAACTGACTTTTTGGGCCCGACCCAGGATTCGAACCCGGGACCTCATGATCAGCAGTCGCACTACTACAACCACTAGAACAACGAGGCACTACTATACCTAATAAGATATTGTGGTTGGGTATTAGGATTATTTTTAACTGTATACTATACTGATAATACTGAATTAGCCTTTTGTAGTGTAAATTATAATATTTGTCGAAATATTAATTATGGATTCGAACCTTACATGCTAATGGTGCTTAATTTTTTTATTTGCATTTACTTAAAAGAAAATACACGCAAAAAGCTTCATCGCGCAGTAAAAACACAACAAATATATGTATAACTAATACGAAAAATTATACCCAAAACAAACAAATAATACTACCTATAAATAACCTAATAAGTAATAATATTATCGACTGATATGACGTGAGCGTATGCGCTGGCCGACGCTCTAACGACACGGGCTTCACGTCGAAGAGCTCAGCGCTCACTGACTCCAGCAAGCCCGTGGGCAGTGAATACGCCCAGATTTTAAAATAATTTCTTAATATAATCAAATTTTGGTCTTTTGAAAAAAAGTTTATAATAGAAATGTTCATTAATAAATTGCCTATCCATTGGTGTAAATCGCAAAATAAAATAATACTTACTTTACGAGGAGATGCATGTTATCAATAATAATTTCACATTTATGTGGTTTCGTTGTAAGGAGATTATATTAATATTTATTCCTTTAAAAAAAAATTGGATATAGCTCTTATGAAATCAAGATTATGTAGAAATATAATGTGTTTTTTATTTGTTGATATATCTTTTAAATAAAAAGTAAAAGATGATCATTAAAATTCAGCACAGACTTCGAAAATTTTAGACGAAACTTGAGTCTACTATTTGCCTTATAACTTTTTCAGGTTTTGTTCAGCATATTCATGGCTACTCAGTCCATAACATTATGCGTACCTCATTTTGAAGTATTCGCAACCGCTAGAGGAGCAGCAGCCAGTATTTTTAAACTACTAGACAGGAAACCTCTCATAGATGGCAGGGATAAAAGTGGATTGTCACCTCGGCGAGTTACAGGAGATATTTTGATGGAAAATGTGCACTTTAGTTACCCTTCTAGACCGAATGTTAAGGTATGTTTACGACTACATGTTGTTTCTGTTATATTGCTCTACTTTATGTTAAAATACTTTATTCATTGGGGGGTATATGACGACCTGGTAAGACACGCAGGAAGTCGATGGATGCAGTTGGTTCAGAACCGTGTTTTGTGGCATTCCTTGGGAAGGCCTATGTTCAGCAGTGGACTTGTGAAGGGCTGTAATGATGATGATGATTTTAAATAACACGTTATGTAACATTTGTAACATGTGTAACATTTCTTAAACAAATATAAAGAACGTTAAGTTCGCAAGAAAACTTATTTTCATTGTTTTTTATAAGGATTGAACTAAATGAAATCAAAGGATAATGTTGATACATGATGATAATTTTACATTGATCACTTTCAACCAATATACTATCACTGCTAAATGTGAGATTTGATGATATTTTTGGAATGTCTAGAAGTAGCTTTTAATAAACCGCAAGCGGGAACTACTACTGATGAAGTCACTTCTGAAATAGTTATAATTTACAGTACCAGCTCTCTGGCACTTTTGACGCTGCCTCTCATTGTTCCGAATATTTTCATGTCACATGTTTATACGAATGGTATACCGCTATCTGCTGGAAACTATCACGTCTTTATAGCCTATACCACATTCACCTTATTACCTTTTACGCTTTTGTGCTAATAAAGTTTCACGTGAGATGTGTGCCTATAACAATCTTAAAAACCCTTTACAGGTGCTACAAGGGTTTTCACTGCATATCAAAGCAGGTGAATGTGTCGCTCTGGTTGGATCTTCAGGTTGCGGAAAGACCACAATATTGCAACTATTACAAAGACTTTACGATCCGCATATAGGGACAGTTAAACTGGACGGCAAAAACTTAAGGAATCTCAACCTAGGATGGCTAAGATCTAGTTTAGGTAAAACGAGCAAAATCGGTATTGATAGTATACATATTATTTGAATTACGAAAGCTGATTGCATGCTCAGAAAGTCGTGAGTTAGAATTCGCAATTTAATTACCTTAGTAAATCACTCCTAACATAAACATTTTTAGCTTATTTGGATTAGTTAAAGGGAGTATTGTTAATGTTAATGTCTATAGAGTTGATTTGCTTTATTTAAAGATATGGGAGCTCTGAGGCTTAACGTCCGCCGTAATTTTATTTTTTATAGAATAGAGTGACAAACGAGCACACAACCCACCTGATGGTAAGTAGATGCTGTGGCCCATAGACATCTACATTTATGCTCCATTAAGAATCACAATACAGTTGCGTCGTCACCTCTGAGGACTAAGATGGACCAGTAAAAAGGATCTCCGGTTCTCTACAATCACCATAATAAACACAACAGCATTAAGTTACTATTTTACGCTGGTATTCTGTGAGAACGTGGTCCTACCCCGGTCGAGCCGAACCATTCGTACTGCAACCATAATGTAGCTGCAGCGTGGCTCTACCACGTAAAAATTAAATTAAATTAATGTAAATTTCTCAGAAATTGCGCAACCCGGGTTCGATCCCCGCCGGCACCATCAACATCATTTCAGACCATCGTAAGTTCACTCTGAGCATAAGCTCCTCCAAGGAATATCACAAAGCATCGCTGGCACCAAGAGATAGCTAATTTGTAAATTTAAGTGCTCGTTTATTACAAGTTTTTTATTTCTTTTTGTTCTTTGTCAAGAAGGAAACGTTTTATGAAACCTGCATGTCTGAGGTATATAACTATTTCTAAGACGTGAAATCCGCCAACAAAGAGCTCCGCGGCTTGCAAATTTCTGCAGAACTCTTTCAGAAATAAGAGGTCTATGTCAAGCTACATTAAATAAGCGGAATAGATTTGTGGATAATGATTTGATGCTAAGAAAGATAACGTAAAACAAAAATCAATTTTCTTAAATATTGCAATAATTTTAAGCTATTTTGTTATGATTTTAGAATTTTGTAACTTTAACTTTTTAATTATGTTTATTCAAGTATTGAGTGTTTTGATAAAAATTTCATAGTTTTATGACTTGTTTGGACTTGGCTACTATTTATTTAATTTACTAAAAATTAAAATTTGATTATTTCAGGCGTTGTTGGCCAGGAACCGGTACTGTTCCGTGGAACTATTTTCGAGAATATTGCAATTGGATGTCCAGAAGCAACGAGAGAAGAGGTACAGAGAGTTGCAGAAATAGCTTACGCACACGATTTCATAACTCGCTTGCCCAATGTAAGTGCCACTTATATTTCGAAAATTATTTTTTAACTTTTTGTAATTTTTTTCAATTGAAATAAATTTAAATGAAACTTATCCTTTTTATTGAATAAGGGTAACAAACCAGCACACAGTCCACTTGATGTCCAGTAAAAAGGGTCTCCTGTTTTCTACACTTATCATACGAAACACCAGCATTTAACTGCTACTTCTATGCTATTTCTTAGTTGTTGTCGATTATTAGACATTTATAAATTACAAGTACATAATGCATACGCTATAATAATGAACACGTTTTCGAAAACAACACTTAATTTAAAAAATCTTAACAAAAAGAAAACATTTTTAAGGGATATGATACAATAATTGGAGAAAGAGGCGCATCTCTTTCTGGCGGTCAAAAGCAGCGAATTGCCATAGCAAGATCTCTATTGCGAGAACCAGCAGTCCTTCTTCTAGACGAGGCCACATCAGCACTTGATCCTCATTCAGAACGAGAAGTTCAAAAGGCGTTGGATAGGGCAAGTGCCGGAAGAACAACAATCATGGTTTCTCACAGGTGATATTCTTGACGTTATATTTACCATTCAAGCACTATTATTATCTTAACGTAATTTATAGAGAATTCTCGTCGGGTTAAGCTGAATAAATATATATATAAGAAAAATACATTCATCATATCATCATTACAGCCTTTCACAAGTCCACTGCTGAACATAGTCCTCGCCCAAGGAATGCCACAAAGCACGGTCCTGAGCTACCTGTATCCATCGACTTCCTGCATGTCTTACCAGTTCGTCACACCATCTAGTGGGGGTTGCCCTACATTTCGCCTACCAGTACGAGGCTTAAACTCGAGAACCTTTTTTTCCCCATCGGTTGTTGGTTCTTCGAGCTATATGGCCGGTATAGCAATCTTGAGCTTCCTCATACGGCCAGCAGTGAAGGATCACGTCTCAGATCAGCACGCACTTATTGTACAATCCTGACAAAAAGATGTGTCGTAATCTCCCGAAAGTTTCCCAGCAGAGTTGAATCCGTCGACTGACCTCTCGATTAAAGTTGGACTTAACTAGTCGTACTATTTGTCCCAAGTAAACATACTCATCAACAACTTCGAGCTTAGTGCTCCTAACAATCGGCATAGGTATGACATGGACGTTATAAATGATCTTTGTTTTGTCCATGTTCATCTTAAGACCTATCCGTTGGAAGACACTATTGAGATCATTAAGCATGTTGGTCAGGTCCTCTGGTGATTCTACCATACGGACTATATCGTTGACAAATAGAAGGTGAGTGGTTTTCTCGCCATTGATGTTAATACCGCATCTTTTCCAGTCCAGAAGCTTGAAAACGTCTTCCAATGTAGAGTTTCGGTGATATAACGTCACCTTGTCTTACACCTCTCTGCAGTTGGATAGGTTTCGTACTCTGGTTCTGTACTCGGATAGCCATCGTAGTCCTACTGTAAAAACACTTCAGCACTTTGATATAGCGACAGTCCATTTGGCACCGCTGAAGGGACTGCAGCACCGCCCAAATTTCGATGGAATCAAAGGCTTTCTCATAGTCCATATACGCAAGACATGGTGGCAGATTGTACTCATCGGTCTTCTGTACAATTTGCCTGAGGGTATGTATGTGGTAAATGGTGCTAAAGCCTTTTCAAAACCAGCTTGTTCGGAAGACTGGATGTCGTCGAGTTTACGTGCGAGAGATTCGTAATGACTCTTGAAAACAGTACGTGGACGCGGACGGTACGTGAAATCGGTCTGTAGTTCTTCAAGCGAGGATTGTCGCCTTTCTTCAAGAACAAAATTACCACACTTTCGCTCCACGCCTCCGATGTAGTGCTACTATGTAGAACAGAATTAAAGAACTACGGTTTTCCACAAGCTTTCAAAAGCTCCGCTGTAACTGCCGTATGTAAGATGCTGAAGAGCCATTCTAATCTCGCTCAGACCGACGTCCGGAATATCATCGGAATAGTGTCGGATAAGACTTGCTCCTGGATCGTTATTCACACCTGCCTGTGGATCCAATGATGATGAGTACGGCTGTCCATATAACTCCTCAATCTCATTCAAAATCTCAGGTATCCCGGAAACGATGCTGCCACATTCGGTCTTTAGCTGCGACAGTTGTTGCTTTCTGGCAGATCTCTCAGAAAGAGTTAATTATAAAGACCATCTTTCTCCATTAAGTGGACCAGCTGCTAGCCCCTCGGCTTCCGCTACCCTATTCCAGAATACCCTGACATAATGTTCACCGCTCTCTCTTGTGCCTAGTTTTGCGTTGAAGTCCCCCATTAACATCGTATAGTGTATTTTGTAGGAATGCATAGCTCTAGGGGAAAGGTATGAGGATATGTCATATATCCTCATACATGTCCTACACATCCTCATCGGGATGTACCGAGGTTGTTGCGTGAACCTGTATGACCTTCGCGAATACCGTTTGGGATTATGAGTATAAGGTACGCAACCCTTGTCGACACACTCTCAACTTACAACTTACAACTTTGCTAATGAGAGACTTGTGGACGATAAATCCGACACCTCCTTGGGACAGATGGTCGCCCTCCCGGTTATAGAACAAGTTGTCGTATTCGAGGATTACCGTGTCCACACCTTTTCTTCGGAGCTCGGATAGTCCTATAATATTCCAGTGCTACTTGTCAACCTCTACTTCCAGCTCCAGGATCTTCTCGTCAGTTCTCAGAGTGTTAGCGTTATATGTTGCTAGGTCGCCTCGCCTTAGATGGCAACCGAACCTTAGACTCTTAGCACCCCCTGCTCGGCCCCGTTATTCTTGGCGCCACCGTAGCCAAGAATAACGGGGCCGCTGGGGACTGGGGGCCATCTCTTCTTAACTCTTATCATGGGTATGCCACATAGTTGCCACGCTTGGCTAGCGGGCTGGCAACCGCAGTTTTTTTATTGTTATTTTGCTGTTATCAAAAAGATGCTGCCTATCTTTTGCCTAAGTTTTCCTCTGTCGCCTCTTACGACACCTACGGGAAGATATGGGGTAGTGGGTATTCTTGCCCGCCATTACACGGGACATAAATATTTTTTTAAATAATACTAATAATGCTATTAAAGATTACTAATATTCCCTTTAACCACTTCTGGTAAGCTTAAAATGCTTGTGTTCAAGTGGTTCACGACAATAGTCGAATGGCAGATTCGAACCTTTCGAGTTCGTGGTCAGCAAGCTGCCATTAGGCTACTGACACTTCTCCGACACGATTAATAATACATAAATAAATAAAAACGCAACCAGATGAAACCCCTCGGGAGGGGAAAGTGAGAGAGGGAAAAAATCGGCGGACGATATGGGCGGTATCGAGGAGCACCGCCTTCTGCATTTAAGTTCGCAGCGGTCAGTCTATCAGGATATCAGGTTTCTGTCGATGATCTCTGATCTCTGATCTCGATGATGATCTCGGCTCTTCGGACCATTGTCTGATCCGGAGTGTGGTGCCACTCACGCTCCCCTCGCGGTTGCGTTCTGCAGGTTGCCGGTCGGCGGTCATTACAGGTCGGCCGATTGGGACGGAATACAGTATTTCTTTGCATCCTACCCATGGGGGCGGGTTTGCTTCTCGCCGAATGATCCCAGCGCTGTTTCTGACTCTGTCACTGATGTGGTGCTACAGGAAATGGAACTACTTATTCCATCATCTGTGGTACCCATCGGAGGCCGATCTCAACCTTGGTTTGGTCGCTCCTGTAAGACTGCATTACTCAGTAAGCAGGAATGTTATCAAGCCTGGGCTGCGGCTTCGGCGACTCAGGATGTAAACACCAGCATGCTTAAAAAGAAGTATAACTTCGCCTCCAGGTCCTTCAAAAGAGTTATTGCCAAGGCAAAGTCAGAGCACATAGGCAAAATTGGCGAGAATCTAGTTCGCCTTCCTTCGGGAACCCGTGCATTCTGGTCTCTTGCCAAGGCTGTCCGAGGGAATTTCTGTAAGCCATCACTACCATCTCTGGACAGGGAGGACGACTCACTGGCCTTTGCCGCAAAAGAGAAAGCCGACATTTTAGGCTGCCTTTTTGCGTCCAATTCGACTCTTGATGACGGGGGGAACACACCGCTAACCATCCCGAGGTGTGAGTACTCCATGCCAGATGTGCGGTTCTCACAGCGCTCAGTTTGCAAAGCACTCCTCTCCCTGGACATCCACAAGTCGAGTTGGCCTGACGGAATCCCCTCAATCATGCTGAGGACGTGTGCTCCGGAGTTGGCACCGGTTCTAACGCGTCTTTTCCGGTACTCCTACTCCCTAGGCGTAGTCCCGAAATCATGGAAGACAGCTTTTGTCCACCCGATCCCTAAAAACGGCGACCATTCAGACCCGTCCAACTACAGGCCTAACGTCATCACCTCCTTGTTCTCCAAAATAATGGAATCCTTCCCGAGAAATTGTGCGATTGGATCACCAGCTTCCTTGCAAATCGGAGCATCAAGGTCGTTGTAGACGGTGCATGCTCCGACTACAAGCCTATTAACTCTGGTGTTCCACAAGGCTGTGTGCTATCACCAACGCTGTTTCTTCTGCATATCAATGATATGTTGCTAACTGGTAACATTCATTGCTATGCGGATGACAGCACTGGTGATGCTCTATACACCGGCCGTGCCAATATTTCTCGGGAAAACGTCGCCGAGTACCGGGACAAACTTGTGTCAAAGTCTCGTATTAGGGGCGACTAAATCTAGTCCAGTTTAATCCTCAGAAGACACAAGTTAGCGCGTTTATCGCTAAAAAGAACCCCTTTGTCGTATCTCCTCAGTTTCAAGGCACTCCTCTTCTTGCCTCAGCCGGTATCGGAATTCTCGAAGTCGACATATCGAGTGACGTGCAGTTTCGTGGTCACTTGGAAGAGAAGGCCAAATTGGCCTCTAAAAAGCTTGGCGTGCTCAGCAGAGCGGGACAGTATTTCATGCCGGCACACCGCCTGCAACTTTACAAGGCGCAGGTTCGGCCTCATATAGAATACTGTTCCCATCTCTAGGAATCTCTTCGTCAAATCTACGTCGTCGGTACTCGTACTGAGCGGATGTATCAGTGCGCTCTCGCGTGACCACGTGTTGTTAGTAATTAGTTATTTTTGGTGTTTTTAATAATATAGTGTTAATTGTTACGTTCTTGAACTATTTAAACTTTATTGTGTTGGACAGAAAAACTGTGATTTGTGTGTACTCTTTTTAAACATTTTTATGCAGTAATTACACATGTTTTTAGGTTAAGACCACGCGGTTACCGCGTGGTATTTAAAGGTTAATTACTGATGTGTTGTGGCTATTGTTCTGTTATTGTTTTTGGATAATATTGGCAAGTACTTTTCTTATATATAGATTTAATTTAATTATAAATACATTTTCTCAAACTTATTAAGGTTATTGTGTCCTAGCACGTGGCGTTGTGTTACTTTGACATTGACAGCTGTCATTGTAGGTGACACTGACACTGACAGTGAAGTTGACAGCTGTCACCTGTCATCTCGTTTGACTTTTAACAACTTGCGTTCCGTTTCTCTTTATGTA